TTATATATATATACACACACACACACACACACACACACACATACATACACAATTTTTTTTATATATGGTCAAATAAAAATGGTTCACTTTGCTTAAAAAATATTTGTCTCAACAATAAGGATTCGCATATATATGTTAAATTTGAGTTTGCAGATGAAATTCCGAATCAAGTGTGTGTGTGTGTGTGTGTGTGTGTGTTACACACACACACACACACACACACAAACATACTTTATATGCAAAAAGTGAAAAAGACAAACATTCTGAAAAATTAAATCGATATTCTAAAATATGTATTTTATATCAGAAGAATTCCCCTCAAACTATTTGTCATACTTACATAGTTAAAAAATTCTTTTTGCTTTCCGTCTATATATATATAAAGTTAATTAAATCCCATGATCCATTTTTAGTACACCAGATGTGCGACTAAAAAGGTTAAACTAGAAAAAATACTATTGATTAAAAAAAAAACGATTACATTAAGTCTTTCTACAAATATTCTTTGTTTATCTTATGATAGTCTGAAAGAATAATGTTACAATAAGTTTATAATAACTTTTGAGGTGTTAACTAGTTTATAATAACTTGAGGTGTTACTACGAAAGACCATCAATACATGTTGCAAAATTAGTATATTTCAAAAGTGTGCTTTTCGAAACATAAAACTATTATGATATTTATAAACAAGTTTATGATCTTCATCAGCAAACGTATCTTACCATTATTAAAACGAAATTGTTACACATTAGTTTTTGAAGTGCAATAATTCAACTATACGACAATGTTGATCACGTTCAGTTCGATATCTTTTATATATATATACACATCGCGATAAAAACTGTTATCGAGAACTACTCGAGCTGGACCTTGTGTAACGACGATGTCGATGTCGTGGGTTTCCTGGTGGACTCCGTGATCGAGTTCTTATTCTACGCCGTGGTGGTCTTGGACTTCTACGACGATTCATAAGCGGTGAACGTCTGCGATAACGTGGCGGTGTGTTTCTACCACCACCTCCCCATCGTGGTGGTGCACGTCTTCCCATACCCGGGGACATACGTCGCATTGGTAACGGTCGAGGCTTCGGTAATAATACTGGAGCAGCCGTGATTTCTTGTCCATCTATTTGTCCTGTGAACAAATCAATGCAAAATGCATTAGTATGATGATAATAAAGTAATTCACTGAGAATGTGTTCTATTTGACGTTTGCAATAGCCAGCATCGTTTATTCTTGTTTATTTGATAAACAACAAAGATAAATGAAATCCAAGAGCATTGCAAACGTCAAATGAAACAAACGAAATGATAATGATATTAATCGGCGTTTTACCTCCATCCATATGTTTCATGGCATTTTCAGCTTCATCTGCAGTTTCAAATTCGACATAAGCAAATCCTCTTCCTTGATTTGGATGAAGCTTATCCAATGCAAAGTCGACCATCTTTATTTGACCATATGTCGAAAATATCTCCATGACATGATCTTTGGTAACATTCCGTGTTAGATGACCAATATGTATTTTTGTTGGTCTAGGAATCGGTGAACGCTCCCTACGCTTCCTACGAGGAGAAGGAGATCTGTAAAATAAAAAAAATGATTAGTAACTTACTAATTGATTATAAATGAAAGAGGAAAGATTAAAGTCAACTTTACAACAAATACATTACCTGGATCGTCCTTTTTGTTTAGCTTTTTCAGGAACAGTATTGTTTCCCTTCTTCCTTTCTTTATCACGGTCTCTGTCCTTGTCTCTATCTCTTTCCCTTTCTCTTTCCTTTTCTCTTTCCTTTTCTTTATTGTCATGTCTGCGTGAAGCATCAGCACTTTTGCTACGACTTCTTTTTCTTCCTCGATCTCTGGAACTAGCTGAAGAGCTAGGTGAACTACTGGATGAACTACTGGAAGAAGAGCTTGATCTAGAACTGCTGCCACTGCTAGAACTCGAAGATCCAGAACTGCTATCTGATGAGCTACCAAATATAATTTTACATATATTTATCAATAAAATAATAAATATTGAATAGTTACAGCTATCATTGAAGGAAAAGTCTAATTTTTTTCTCTCCAAGAGCTTTTGAATATGAAAAATTATTTCATTCAGATAGAGCCAAATGATTAGAAATCCATAATGAAGATTAAATTCGATAATAAATTTAAATTTACATACTTTTAATATTTTTACATTACTCACCTAGAACCACTACTGGAAGAAGAAGCCGCTCGTTTTTTCCGCTCTTTCTCTCTACCTCTCTCCTTCTTGTTCTCTTTATCTGTAGCTTCTGAGTCACTCTTGCCTGTACTGTCCTTTCGACTTCGGGCCCTAAATAATAAACAGTGAATGGAGGAAAAGAGAGAGAAGATTAAAATCTATATAAATATTACGTAATTGTTGACTGCATGTAATGAAGTTACTCACATAATTAGCAACGAGAGACTTTCCTGACTCCCGGAATGAAAGATCTCGGGATGAAAGTTTTAAGACGAAGCCGGATGATACGCCAACCGTATTAGCCGCAAGCACGCCAGAAATGGCGGACTACCGGGATACGAAGCCGACGTTACTTATGTTGAACGTTCTCTCACAAATAACACGTCTCACACGCTTGAAGTAACGTTAGTCGAAAGAGAGAAACGTCCAGATGAGATCTTGATTGACGTACGATGCTACCAAGCTATCGAATTATTTTATTAGAACACCTTGGCGCGCATTAAGAACAAACAATTACCACTTACATGAAACTGTCATGGCGCTGATGTCGCCAAAATTCGCTATCCGACGATCCAGCCCAACCCGTGTAGTGTGGCGTCAACCAACACATTAATGATTGCGTTCGGCTGCTTTCACATGCAGCATAATTTGCGTAATAAGGTTGAAATCTTAATATTTGGGTGTGTTTCCGATATTCACTGTTAGTGGCCTAGTTTCCACCGGGCAGGTTTAAACGGAATCAGAACCAACCAACTACAGTCGAGTATTCCCCTATTACAGTCGAACGACAGGGGAATATTCGACTGTAGTTGATTGGTTGTTACATTCTGATCCGGCTTAAACCCTCGATAGAAACTAGATCAGTGTTGAAACTATACACGTTATGTACGCTATATTTTCAGCACTAGCAGTGAATATTGAAACGCACCTTATTTAAGCCTTGCATAAAAGGCATAAGGAGTTAGGAATAAAGAATAAATAATTCTAACCTATCAGAAATAGGATACATCGGAATACACAGTTTCTGATAGGTTGAAATCGTTTATTCTTTATTCCTAATTCCTTTTATTGTAAGCAGAACTTTATTTCTGTTTCTAATATTTGTTCTACTGTCTTAAGTAACAACTAATCATATTTATTTGCTCAGCGAGCAAACTAGTTTTGTCGATTTGAATGCGGCCATCGTCTTTGTTTTATTATATCTCTTCTCTATCAATTTTTTTTCTGAATTTTCATTGAATATAATTTTATATTTATTAACAAATTATTTCTTTATATTGAATTTTTACAATGAGCCACAGACAAAGTTGCTAACTTGCTCCGAACGATTGAATGTGATTGGCTGGATCTACAAGTAACATTTAGTCGGTAAGCAGATTAGCCGCTTTGTTGACTTGAACGCGACCAATGTTTTTTTTTTTAGAATTTATTAAATTTTTATACAATAGCTGCGTTCAATAGACTCAACAGTTGAGCGAGCACTCGCTCGATGCTGTTGATGTATTCTTTTAGATAATCCAATCAGCATTTTCTGGAAGGATCTGGAAGAATCATCAATGGATGCATTCAGAACAACAACAATTGAGTATTCAATGAGCTCTTTTTGATTGGCATATTCCTAAAATATAGACCAATCAGATAAAAGAGCTCATTGAGCTCACTGAGCGTTTAATGAGCAGTTGTCGTTTTGAATGTATCCAATGGTTGTGTTCAGCAGATTTAACAGTTGATTGAGCGCTCGCTGCTATTGATGTATTCTTCCAAATCTAAAATACTGATTAGATGATCTAAAAGAATACACTGTTGATCAACTAGAATCAATTGTTGGTCCGCTGATATGCTAGTGGCTGCGTTCAGCAGAACATTTATTTTGCAAACTTGTTGGAAGTTTTCTTCGCACTGATTGAATTATACTTTTAGATAAAAGAATGATTCTACTTCAACAAACAATCATAAAACAGTTGCAAAACTGTTGTGTTCTGCTGAACGTAGCCAATATATTTTTACTTTTGTTAGTACTATAGAAGGGAAATGAACAGTCAACTTCCGATTTAGTAGTTATACGATTGGACGTTAGATTTCTCACTTGTCGCAATTACTTTTGAATCGCCTAGCTGTGCTTGCTACAAATTTAAATGGATAAAATGTTATGAGATGTAAGAATTAAATTAATCATTTGTTTATTTAACTTATTATTTTATTTTGTTCTTTTGATTTTATTCAAGTTCGAGTAATATGGTATCCACAATGACATTTCAAGTTCCTATTAAACTTTCATCGAGAAATCCTGGTGATTCGTATCCTCATGATTTACAATTGTATCGGAACGTACCATTTGGAGAGATAACGTTAGAAGAGCTACAAGAAATAAGTGAAACACGACTCAAAGGTTAATTCTGAATTTTGCTTATTTCCTTTTATTTAGCATATTGTTATTTATATATTAATATAATAATTTTTTTCATAATTAATGTTTTTGTATGTTGTAGTTCTTTCTTTAGTCGAACGTATCCATTTACAGAAACTGACAATGTCGGTATCACAACGCAGAGTTGCCTTGATTGAAGAGTTATACAAACAAGGACTAAACGAATTTGGAAGATTGATTAAAAGTTCTGGATGCAAATCATGCACTGACATGGATATACGTATTAGAAGAAGAGATCATATATCTCATTTTATGTTAAGGTCCACAGTTGTCTTCAATGAATCTAAAAAGCGCTGGTTTTTTAAGCAAGAAGCCAGGTTATTCAAATGGAGATTTTCTTCATTAGATAATGAAGGAATCAGGCAGTTTATGCACATTAATAATTTTAACTTTAGCCCAGTTAGTTATTGCTTGTTATAATATTATATATGTTATAATGTTATATAATATTTAGATATAACTTCAAATCTTGGATTGACAATATTTTCTGTTGATTCTAGATTAGCCAAAATGAAAAAGAAAATATCGGAGAACATCTTCATATGTCTTCTCCCAATATTAATGATATTGATAACACACAATTTTACAGGATACCTTTCTTTCATATAGCCAATTTAATTAGAAAACGTAAAGTTTTTGTTATGCAAGGTGAAGCTTTTGTACCCGAACAAGAAATGGCATTTGTGTTTGTGTCATATTTCCGGAGAACTCTTATATCAAGTTTTGAAGTATAATGTAATTACTATGAATCTGTCGATCAACTTACTATTTTCTATTCTGTTGTTATATTTCAGGTTGCACGTGAAGCTAGAGCAAACTTATATAATGATGAAAGATTTACTCATATCTTTGCTTATTTAGAAAATAATATTCTTACTCAAAATACTGTATCGGTACGAGAACAAGAGATGCAACAATATATTTCACTCGACAAGTTGGATGAGGTGAAAATTAATATTATAAGTGGTTTTGTATTATAATGACATGATATTAAATCTAATGAGCAATATCTTGTTATAAATTTTGACATGCTAAATCTTATTTTATAACAAATGATTTTACTGTAGCTTGCAGAAACTTCTTATCCTCTATGTATGAGAGTGCTTCACAAAGCGCTAAGGAAGAATCATCATCTTACACATGGTGGTAGAATACAATACTGTTTATTCTTAAAGGGCATGGGACTTTCTTTGTCCGATGCAATGACTTTTTGGAAAAATGAATTCATGAAAATAATGGACGATACTGCATTTAAAGAACATACATATTACATAAGATTTAACTATGGGAAAGAAGGTAGTCGTCGAGATTATCAGCCTTACAAATGCCTAAGAATTCTGGAATCAATTGTTGGACCTAGAGATTATCATGGATGTCCTTTTAAACATATGTTGCACGATACATTTGAAGAGGAACTTACTAATTGCGGTTTTAATGCGTCAGGTAAGTATCTCAATATTAATTTGTATGTAGAATCATGAAATGAATTCTTTTATGTATTAACTAATTTATTGTCTAGAGAGATCAGCAATAATGAAATTGTCCAAGGATGGTCAATATTTTGCAGCATGTAACAAATATTATGAAATTAAACATGACTGTCTTAACGATACCTTGTTTGAACATCCAAATATATATTTTAATGAGAGTATGAAACATCGCACTGCATATCATTATGGTGAGATTTATTTGATTTTATATATATCAAACAATTTACTATTTTGTATAAACTTTAAAATTATATTAAAATTAAAGGCTCGGAAACAGGAGATGCAGTTTAGTCAGAATCAGAACATTTGAAGAAGATTAGAACTATTGCAAGAAGTTAGGACCGTTGCAAGTTATATTTAATATTAACAGAATGTATATTTTTTATACAAATCCCTGAATGTAAATATATATATATATATATACATACATATATATATATATATATATA